CATAAGTGCTCTTACTGTCTTCTGCCTCTTGTTTGCGTCTATATTAATTAATAGTGTTTGAAGAAACACTTCATCTAGGTGTGGTGTATTTTAATTATGGCAAAGCACACGAGGGCTATCTGCCTAAGGGAAGGGATGCCTTCGTGGAAGACTTTCTAAGGGAAACTGGCTCGTATGCACGTTACACATGGGGAAAACCACGGAAACATCCATGCAGCCAGCCCGTTCGCGGGATTCGAACCTCGGACCGAACTATCAGTGTTCAGCGACTTTACCGCTCGGCCGCTGGTGGGCTCACTTCATCTAAGAAATTAGTGCTTGCAATTGATACGTTTTGTGTTTCCTCTTCTTCATTCTTTTCAACATCACTGCTCTTTTGATTGGTGGGCAAATCCGGACACATGACACCCCAATGTCTTTTCGATCATATCAAACATTGTACATTTGTCTTGCATTGCTTGGCACTGTGTCCAATTTTGAGGCAGAAGAATCAACCCTTCTTTTACTTAATTTCATCATTCTTTTGACTCAGAGGCATCTTCTGAGCAACAAAGCAATGGTAGTACTTTGATAGACGGTTGCACGGATTTTTGGCGATTTACGTTGGCGCAATTGTTGGCGCGGTTTTTACAAACGTCAGCCATCTTGAAAAACGCTGTTTTTACGTATAATAAAGTATTCGAAACTTTAAAAAAATAAATATCGTTAAAAGTAATGGATTAATTTTTTGTTGAAAATGTCGTTTTTTAAGATGGCAGGCAAGTGTAAATAAATACATTTACTATGAGTATAAAATACTAAAGTAAGGCTATTATTACTTTCATATAGCAAAGAAGAGAATAAAAACACCGCTATAAAAACGTGCCAACGTTTAATTAGATTAAAATATTACTGAAATTGAACATTGAATTAAAAACCATCAACCAATCAACCATAAAAGAATTAGAATATTATTAAATTCAAATACTTAAAAATACGTTATATAGAATATAATTAACATTAAAACATATGTACAATAATTATCTCAGCAATTTTTAAAAAATAGTGTATTAATTTTTTTAACAAAAATTGAAGTATACAATTATAAAAGAAAAGAAAAATATGTACTTACATTTTTTTGAGTCATTTAACATGTTGTTTATTGATAAGTACTACAAAAAAATCGGAATCATAATTTAGATAACATCTTTGAAGGAATTCGAAGACATGAATTATATTTTAAAACGGCGCGGAAATGCACAAATTGTCAGTAACTAATCAGGCAGCTGATTACAGCTTGTTAATGCACAAATATTCTATAACCAGTCAGAGAGCTTATTACATCATGCCTAGAATTAAAATTATTTAAAAATTCATACATAATAAAATCATTTTTTAAAAAATGCAAAATTAAATTGTATTTTAATATTTAACAGCCATAAATAATGTTTAAAATATTAGATTAAATTTATACATATTAAAAGCAATTACTTTTAAAGTAAGGTGACGTCATTGAGTACATCAACCATAACATAAAATTTCATAAAATATGATAAACAATAAAATTTTTATTTCAAATAAAAATGCAAAATTAAATTGATTTTTCATATTTAGAAGCCATAAATAATATTTAAAACACGGAATTTATGCACAATAAAACACATTATTTTTTAAATAAAACGGCAACAAAGTATCGGTTACCATAAATAACTTATCTAGCAGTGGTATTACCATAAATTGTATTACTCGCCAAAAAATCTCCAAAATCCGTGCAACCGTCTACCAAAGTAGCACCAAAGCAATCTCGACTTTTATGAAATTTTTCACAAAATATGCAAGAATTCTTCTCACTATAATTGGTTGCTTTATTTTGGCCTGAGAATAAATCATTTGCTGTAGGCACGAAATGTTCACTCTGGTACATTTTATCTCTTCTACTTTCTCTCTTGGCACCCAAATCAATTAATTTAAATCAAGCTTTTGCCAAAGAAATTCTCTGCTCTCCTTCCACTTCATTTTTTAAAAACAAGAATTGTTTCAATTTATCAGAGTGAGAATTTTCTGCTGTAATTATTGATGCATAATTTCTAACCCAAACTCGTCAAATTTCCTCGGGAATGCAAGATTCCACGAGCGGAAACAGCATTGCAGCGTATTTATCGCTTGTCATTCCTATTGACTTCAACGAACGTAAATACGACTCTAACTTGTCATACAATTCTGATATACTGCATTTTCCCTTTTGATCAGTGACATTTTTAATAATCAAACCTAATAATTCCCGAATATAGAATTCTACCATCAATTCTTCCCTGCCGAACCTATTTTTTAAGCTTTCTATAGCTTTTCATAGTTTTCGGCAGTTGCAGGGAAGCTGTTTACAATATCCCATGGTCTCGTACCGGGTACGGTCGCTTGAACGAGGTAATGCATCTTATCCTCGTTTTGAATTTCTTTATCTTCATGTATTCGCCGAAATTGCCACCAAAACGGTAACCAATCTTTAATTTCGCCACCGAATTGTTTTAACTCAATTTTAGGTAATTTCAGTTTCCGTTTGTTCGAATTCGGCGGAACACTGCCTATGGATAGTGTCGTTTGGCGATTGAAGAATAATTCCGTTTCTACTCGTATTAAATCTAATTTTTCTTTGTATTCTTCAATTTTCGCCCATTCACTTTCAAACTTATCATTTGAAGAAAATTCCGAATTTAATATTTGAGTATCAAATGCATTAAGTTCAACAGATAAACGTTCTAAAGTAACAAGTTTCGTTTTTACAGATTTTGCATCAGGAATTTCCTTTTCTAATTCTTGCAAAATTGCATTAATTGTTCTCGTAAAAGACGCTCTGACAGGTTTTCGTTTCTCAATTAATGATTCCATTTCAATAAAAATAAATTCAATAAAGTCAAATAGAATTAAATTCGATAAAACCAATAAAATTACCTTGACTTGTTTTACCGATCACTTCCGTCGTCACCAAAATTGTTCGAGATTTGCAAGAACTAACCATTCTCCTTTCTCCTAATAAACTTAAAATAAAATAACTTTACATATAAAAATTCTACAGCATCATATTTATTTTCAAAATCCATAGAACTACAAGAAACTACAACAAAGATCAGATGGTTGCCACTCTTACAGTGATAAACTATGAAAAGAAAATAACAACTGAGGCTGGGTTCTAACATTATGAAAAGACTATTAATAATAGCTGATTTGGAAAAATGTTTATCTGAATTATCCCAATAATTTGGATAAATGAGATTCTACTTGAATATTTTACTAGATATATTTCTTAAAAAAAAAAAAAACTTTATTTTATATTTTTTCTTTTACGTTATTTTATAGGATTTCGGGTTTGTCCCCCGTCGGTGCAGAAAGACTTAGCAGGTGTCACAACACAAAACATGTGTCTACTTTGTGCGTCTGCATCTGTGTCTGTACTGCGCGTGTTAATTCTAGTTAATTCTATTGAAGGTTTTCGCCAGCGATAAACGAGGATCACCGAGGCAAGCGGCAGCACGATCGCTGCGCTCCGTAAAAAAGTGAAAAAATTTCCTTTCCTCTTGGTGATTATCAATTAAATTTCTTTGAATTTTTTTTTTTTTTTTTTTTTTTTTTTTTCCTACAGCACCTATATTATTCCAATGAATTTCGACTCCTAAGTTGACGAGAATAAAACAGCGGACAATGTAAGGATATACTTCAAAAGCCTGGAATTTTAAGATAAGTACTTTTCTTTCATCTAAACTAAATCAAATTTCTATAAATAAGTGCCTTTAAATCAATAAATCTTAATTTTTCATCAGTTTAAAGCATTAAAAAATACTTGAAATTGCCATTGCTTGTGGCTTCCTTTGTGTATCAACTCCAAACAGACGCCAACGTTATCAGTTCACGTCTGTCAACACGTACAAACCCTTAAGGAATCTCGAGAGAGGGAAAATTTGGGCATTGCGCTATTTCCCTCTCGGATCTTCTGGATTCTCTTTTCTTTTTAGATCGCTTGAATATAGTTTCGCCTTTAAATAATATTATACCTCACCGATTTTTTCTCATACTGATCTTTGCTATCTGTTAAATGTCCTTATGTAAGAGATGGTTTATTCTTCACCTGCCTTAAATGAATTCTTAGAACTATGAGCTTATATAAATAACAGTGTGCCTCATTGTGTTATAGTAACATTAATTAACTAGTAATAAATTATGATAGTAAAATAATTAATCTTGTAATAAGTTATGATAGTTAAATTAATAAATACTGTTTAATTTGTGTTTTTAATACATATACTCAGTAATTTACACACACACACACATATATATATATATATATATTTTTTGTGTGTGCGGTTGTGGTCTTGTATTGTATATGGTTCTATGTTGTTAGTCTGCTGCTGTTTTTTGAAAAATGTATGAAAATGTTGAGAATGAAAGTAGCATAAGTTACTTTGGTTAAATTAATATATACTTTTGTTTGATGACTTTTGTTGATATCTCAGGATGCAAGCATACATATTACTTTATATTCCATGCTAAATACCTTGATACGAAGCATTTTAACACCGTCAATATTTTTTTTTTCCCTCAGTAACACATCTATTCACCATTACCAAACACACTCACTACACACACACACACCTGTGAGACACTATTTATTGTAAATGAAGACAGTTTCTTCTCCTTTTAACTACACTCATGGACACAATCGTATTTTAGGATATTTTCTACTTCTTTTCCTTTTCTTTCTATAGGCCCTTTTTTTTTTTTTTTTTTCCTCTATTATTTTTGGGCCATTTATTTTAAATTTTATTTTATCCCATCTTTTCTTCCTGGCCTTTTGAACTCGTACAAGATGTACGAAGTTTCTTTTTACTCTCCTCAAATACGAAATTGCCCCTCTTTCTATATACCTTTCCTTCCTTCGCACCTATGCTTGATTTATCGCCAATCGGTGCAGAAAGACTTAGCGGGTGCAAAACAAGACATCTGCCTACTTTGTCTGTCTGTCTGTCTAATTCTATTGAATTCCTAAGATTATGATTAATAGGCGGGTTTGACTTAAAAGTTTTGTCTACGGAGAGGTTGTTAAGTGATGATTGCGTCATCTGTATGGAGTATGAGCGAGTCCAAAAGGCAAAACTTTACCTTGCTTGAAAAATCTGCCTTGGCTGAATGTATAATAAAATATAAACATATTATTGAAAATAAGACTACTGACGCGGTAACGAATAAACAAAAACAAGATGCATGGAATTCGATTGCAGAAAAATTCAATAGAATTCCTGGTGTTACTTTGCGGAGTGTGAAACAACTGAATTTCTGCTACAAAAATTTAAAAAGAAAAGCGAAGAAACGGAAGGCGTATGAAATAGAACTTCGTAATGGGGGCTGCCCTACGGTAACGCATGAAGATGATGCAATAAATGAAACTTTATTTGCCGTAAGTGCAGCAACATCTTCGCAAAAAGAAGTGTTTGAATGGGTTGATAATTTTCTAAACGTGCAAACTTCTGATTCTGGTAAGTTATTATATGTTAAATATTGGTATTCGGTTTTTCAAGTATGATTTTCGAAATTGTATGAGAATTCTCGCCCTTAATTTATCCATATCAATATAAATTAAATTTTGTATGCATAATTTTTTGGCGGTAAGTTGCTATCAGTCTATCTTTTATGAAATATTTTTAAAGAATAAAAGGTAATTGGGTTGTACGTGATCAGAGAACTCTTTAGTGGCATTTCAGTGTTTAGTTGTAAGGGGTCATTCTACAACTGCTTGCTTGGTGGGAAATTTAAATTTCCAAATAACGTTTGGAAGTTTCAAGAGACTTCATAAGAAAAGGGAAGAATTCTCTGTGGGGAAAATTTCATTATTTCAGGATTGGGGGGAATGCAGTTAACATTTTATTTAACTATTCACTATGTAGTTTTCGGTAAAAGTTTACGATTGGGTGCCCCGTGTTTTTTGATGCCAAGATTGGTGCCAGGAAGGCACAATTTCAAGATGGCCGCTACACAAAACCAAAATAAGAAGTCAAAGAATTGCACAATCTCTGTGTTCATGTACACATATATCTGTTTTCACTTAAAATAACATCCTAGAATTGCACAAACTAGGCACTGCACACTGCCTTAAATTTGTCCATGTACACATCAATCTATTTTCATTTAAATAAAATCAGGAAGCTAAAACAAAGTTAAAACTCTCATGGTAACCAGAAGTGAGGTTTTATCGCCAAAATTTAAAAAGAAATTGTTGCTAAATAAGGGGCACCCAATTCTACACTAGAGTCTAGTTTTTATTTATGAATAGAAAGAAACATCTTTTATTCAAGTTTTCAATACTTTCTACACTTTTTGCTGTTTAGTTAATAAAATGTTCTAAAATATAATTTTCAAGTTTTCGAAAAGAAGAGGGGGAATGAATCTCTAGCAGTGGTGAAAGAGGTGCATGGAGCAAATAAGATTGAGAACCCCTGATCTAGTGATATCAAGTATGTACAAATATTATATTCTGTAAGCCCTTTCCCACCAGGTATGTTGTGGTAGTAATTGCTGCTTAGCATGTATAGTAGCAAGTTATGCTGATTACTGTACCAAAGGAGCCACGTTTGAATCTCATAAGAGGTATTGTTTGTAAGCAACAGTGCCTTTGTTTAAATGGGTCACTCAAAATATCTGGTTGTAATCAAAGTTTTCCACCAAGAAACATTCTTAATAAAGTTAGAAAAAAACATGAAAGCAGTATCTTTAGTGCCGATAGTAATCACCACCCAAATCTATGATTTTCTGCCAACGTTTTGGTAAGTTTTCAAAGCCTCCGGCTTAGAAAACTTGTGGCTGCATGTCCAAAAACAGGTCAACCTCAATTAGAGCATCCTGTGCAGAATGAAGGATAGCACCAGCAAGATATACCGGTTGATCTTTACATTATGGTAACTTGGCGTTTTTTTGGCGAAAATTTGGCGACCAACTCTCTTACAGCAACCCTCTATTTTTTTCTTCCCGCCGCCATTTTGTCTTCACTAAGTAAAGACATGTTTCTTTTCTTTTTATCTACTGAACACTTCTTCCAACAATCTACTAGCCGAATTACACTTATGCTAGAAATTTTATCTAACAAAACTGCTTAATCATGACAAATATTCACTGCAAAATTGGGAAAAAGTGCACAATACCATACTCCTTACGCGCTTTTCAAAATAACACATACACATAAACCATGTACACGCCGACTTATTTTTACTTAAAAAAACATCCCAGAATTGCACAAAAATGGCATTGCGCACACTCTTCACTATATCCATGTACACTGCTTTTTTCTCATAAATTAGAAAAATTTCACGAAAATACATGACAATTTTCTCAATCTTTAAACCCGGTAAAAAGAACATATATGAAATTACCTGACCGCGAAAAAGTATTTACCCTTTACAAATATGAACATTTCCACATATAAAATAAATAAAATATCCAAAAACTTTTACCTCTAAATCATCTATTACGTTATACACGTCACCAACGAATTCATACCGCAAGCATTACGAATACTTAGTATCAAATATTTAAATTATTTTCATGCACGTTTATTTCAACTTAAACGTATACCAAATTCCTACAAACATAAAATTCACAAAATAACTACCATTTCATTAAAATATAATTAAATTCAAAAATACTACTTAAAATATAAATGAGCACATACATTAAATTAATAAAAATTACCTTACAATTCTAATTACTTTAAACTAAATCATTGCTAAAAACAATTTTCCCAATAATACCAAATTCCTTTCCACCTTACATTTTGAACAATGCATAAAAATAATATCCTCAAATAATTAAAAATACTAACTTACCTAATCTTCTTCAGAATCTTGATTATGTGGCGGATACACTTTTCTAATTCATTCAATAAAATTATTGAAAGATTTTTTGTGCGAATTTTTCCTCCATACTTCCTCCGCTAAATAAAAAGCAAACTTCTCTCTATCACAATGCCTAAATACCCATTTCGAATTCACTTTATTTAGGGCCATGGGATCCAAAAATTAAACAACACTGTTTCACACAACACAGAATAAAGCTAAATACAAAATATCTACATTTTTTCCCGATTTCCCCCCTTTTCCGATTAAAGAACCGTAATTCGTCCATTAATATCACATGACATATCCCATGATCTCTCATTTCCCTCACACAAAACAATGCGTAATCAGAACTGAGTACTGCTCACATTATTACCAAAGTCCCAGGTAGTAACCTTTATCGCCTCCAAAATGTCGCCAAACTATCAGTTACCATATTGTAAAGATCAACCGATATACCTACAGGCATGTAAAAAAGATAGAAATCTGAAGGAACAATGTTAGGGCTGTATTGTGGGTGTGGCAAAAGATCTCATTCGTGTCAGCACAGAGTCCAACCTGTGAATGCAGATACCTGTGATCTTGTATTATCCTGATGGAACATTTACCTTATTGAGCCGGAACTCGGTTTGATGTTTTTCCTTGGCAGCTGCATCAGCATTGAGTAGCAGCATCTTGCTGTACACCTTACTGACGAGGGTTTTACCTTTTCCAGATACTTTTTGTGGATAATACTATGGCAGTTCCACAAGATGACAAAGCGTGATCTTTTTGTTAGTCAAATTGGGCTTTGTGAAGCTGCTGATAGGCTTATCAGGTGCAAACCAACCCCTTTTTCAGCCTGTGTTGTTGAAGTAAATCTACTTTTCATCACAAATAACGAACCGATCCAGAATATTGTCCTTGTGTTGATATTCGAGCAGATTCATGCAGGCCCCTACACGTCTATCCTTATTTGCTTGAGTCAGCTCCTGTTGTACCCAGGGATTGAACTTGTACGTCTAGTACATGCAATACGTAGCACAACTAATGGACATGGCACTAATGTCTTAATTTCTTAACAAGCTCTCGAGCAGTTGCATATTGATTTTCTTCCACAAATTCTCGCAGGCGGGCCTCATCGACATCAGTAGGGTGACCAGAGCGCTCTGCTTCTTGAATATCATAGTCCTTCTAATTCAGAAGTCAAACAACAAAAATCAGCGTTATATTCACAAAATTTTCACAGGACTAGTTTCGATGGTTTTACCGAACCATCATCTTCAGCTGCAAAACCACAAATGAACAAGATAGGAAATAATGATTAGATAAGATAGGAAAGCCAGGACAAGAATAAGCAAGTGGCGCCATCTGTTGGCGAAACCAGAACTAAAACATAATTTCTCTAAAAGCCGAAGGCAAATTTGGATTGGAATTAGGATCGTTAACTAGAACAGAAAGATTTTTATGAATGTGAAATGCCTCTAGAAAATCCAGTTCTCCAATGGAAGATGTTTTTTGAATAATTTTGGCAGCAGAAAAATTGAAAGTGTGATTTTCGGACCAACAATGTTGAGCAACAGAAGACTTCTGTGTTTCCTTTTTTCTAACATATGCCTCATGTTCTTTGACGCGGAATTTTAAGGCTCTCTTAGTTTGACCAATGTAAATTAAACCACACTGGCAAGGAATCCTATAAATACCCCAGGAATTCATATCCGGAATGGGGTCCTTGAGTATAGAAGTTGGAATTTTATTGATGGGAGAATAAACAACCCGAAAGTTAAATTTCTGCAAAATATGTGCAACTTTATAGCTAATTGATGGAAAGAAGGGAATGACAACAGAATTTTTATAATCACCTAAAATAAGAGTGTGGTTTTTAGTGTGTTGAGATGAGAATTTTTTAACTGCTTGATTAATAATGTTGGGTGTGAAAAGCCCCTGTCAATAGCTATTGCTTTTAAATAATTTAGTTCTTCATCAAGGGCTAGTTTGGAGGAGCAAACTTGAAGAGCACGGAAAACATAGGAATAAAATGAAGCTAACTTTTGTTTAGTCGGATGACATGATTTAAAGTGTGGTGGAAGGCAAACCGATGAAGGTTTACGGTAAACTGTAGTACTGAAGTTGGATGTGTTACATGTGACCAGAATGTCGAGAAACGGAAGAGAATTGCAAGTCTCAGGTTCAAAAGTGAACTGAATAGCAGGATCAATAGAATTCATTGTTAAAAGAACTTTCTTTAAATCATCTTTATTACCTTCAAACAGGGTAAAAGTATCGTCTACGTAGCGGAACCATGCCGGGAAGTTTAAAGTTTCAAACAATTTTGATTCATAATAATGCATGTAGATATCAGCCAGGATGGGACTGAGGGGGCTTCCCATGGCTAATCCCTCAGTTTGCTTGTAATATTTATTTTGGAAAACAAAATGTGTTTGTTTCAAACAGAGTTGAGTGAGGAGAGAATTAGCTCATCAATTTCGATGCAAGAGAAATGAAATTCGCGAAGTCTGGTTTCTAGACATCTTAATGCACCCTCCACTGGGACATTGGTGAATAATGATTTTACATCAAAAGAAACCATGAGTAAATTACTAGGAGAAATGTTTTTAACCTTTTTTACAAACTCTATTGAATTTTTTATGGTGTAAATGTTATTGTCTAAT